AAATAAAAGCAGAAGTGGTTTACAAGAAAATTTGTTTTACATGTGACTAAATACAGTGTTATTAAAGTGAATGAATGTTTTTAGAACATTATGGTGAATTTTTAATTAAATTTATTGGGGTGATATTGCTTAATAAAATTATATAGGTTTCAGGTATACGATTCTGTAATACATCATCTTTATATTATATTGTCTTTTCAGCACCCCAACTCAAGTCTCCTTCCATCACCATTTACCACCTCTTTGCCCACTTGTACCTTTTCCTACCCCCCCTCTCCCTCTGGTAATCCCCATGCTGTTTTTTTTTTTAATATATTCCATAAAGGCACATATTTTAAAGATGTTGCTATGGATTTATTTTTGTATAGTTGAATGAGTATGTTCTAATTTTAGCAAATAAATGTGTTCATCAAACTTTGCTGCAATAAAAACCCTTAGTAAAGGTATACATACAGAAGATATTTATAAGAATCCAAGGGGCCCAGTGCACGAATTTGAGCACCTTGAGAGGAACTGTGGGCCACAAGGTTGCAGTGGGCACAGGGGCGGGTGTCGGTTCATCCACCATTCCCCTGCCTGCCACTTCCCACCATGGCCCCTGGTCCCCTGTCTGCTTGCAGTCCCACTGTGGCTCCTCCCACATGCTGACAGTACCAGCCCCGCTCTCACCCACTGATGGTGCAGAGCGACTGGGGCTGGTGCCAGCAGTAGGTGTGAGCGGGACCTGCACCGTCAGCAGGTGCGAGCAGTGGCTGATGCCCCAATCCCCCCTTAGGAGCAGGGGAAGGTGGAAAAATCCTCAGGGACAATAGGGGGTGGCAGCCACCGCTCACAACTGCTGATAGCGCAAAGCGATCGGGACTAGCGACAGGTGCCAGCAGCAAGTGTGAGTGGTGGCTTCAGCATGGACAGCAGGTGTGAGTGGGGCCAGTGCCAGCAGCAGGTGCAAGCTCTGGGCAGGACCACGACATGCAGGAGCAAAGAATTTTTAGTAACTACCAGAGGCTCGCTCTGATGACAGTGACTAGTGCCCCGCCTTGGTCTGGAGCCCCCATTCACCTGCTCCACCATCCCACCATGGCCAATGCCCACCATGTTTCATATTCTGCCACCTGCTGCCAACACCTGCCATGCTTCACGCATGCCCCCTGGTGGCCAGTGCACATCATAGCAACCAGTTGTTCAATTGGTTCTTCAGTAAAAGAAAACCAATTTTCATCAAAATGGAGTAATCCTATAATATGCATTTTTTTTCAAATCATGTCTTAATTACATAAAGATGGTGGTTAACCTACAGGTAATTTATTGAATCCATTAGTATGCCTTTCCATTTAGCCTCTGAAATGTATAAACATATTTTGAAGGATTTGGGTATATTAAAGTCAAGCTATTCAATGTATATATTCAAATATAATTTCTCTACTTTGTGTAAGTAAATGATAGACTGCCCAAAAGCATTTGATGGTATTTCAACATCAATTGTAATTTTATAAGTTTGAGGCACTTAAGTATTTTCTTCACCAATAATATCTGTGCAAATACCTTTCTTCACCATGTGAAATGGTATTCAATTATATGAAAAGTTCCTTAAAGTCATCCTATATAACAAAAGCCAAGGTGGTGTCATGCCCTCGTGCGATACCATCATAAGATGGCGATGCACACAGTGAAGGCGGTGCCTGGTGGCCACTCCGTGTGGTGAGGCATGGGGATCCCATGGTCCTACTCGGCACAGGGGAAGCCCATCTCAGTGTCTCTGCCGCCTAGCATGGAGGAGGCAGGTCCCGGTGGAGAAGACTGGTCTTGGCAGGGGAGGACAGTTGGGGGCGATCAGGCCGGCAGGGTAGCAGTAAGGCGTCGATCGGGTAAATACAAAAAAGTTTGAAGATCTGGCAGGCAGTAATCCCTTTGCCTGCCCGCCACCCCAGCACAGATTTTCCTGGGCCCACCCATACACATGGAAGGAGGATCACTGCCCCACCCAGGCCACAATAGTCCCCTGCAGATGAGGGAAAAGGGGGCTTTTCCACGGCCACCCCCTGACGTCAGAAAACAATAATTATTCTCTCAAAGGAAAAAAAAATACAGAAATCAATTAAAACATTTAAATATGACAAACCAAAGGGAATTGGGTGGGAGAGGCAAGAGAGGAAAGGAATTGAAGTTTCTTGGGAAGAAGGGCCTCCCATGTCCCCCGGCCCATTACTGAATGGGCGTGAGGCCTGGGATCCGAGACTCACACAGTGAGTTTGCAGTGACACAGCTCCTTGTAGATCTGCTGACGAAGTTTGGGCATGTCCTGCTGGGGGAAGCTGAATGGCTGAGACAGGGCCAGGTGCTTGCAGGACTGCAACACAAAGGCGCCACAATCGCTGTCATTATTCTGCCTGGTCGCGTTCGTTTTGAAGTAACCTTTCCAACCTTGATGGAAATCCAGCTGGTTTTTCTTCACTGCCTCTGCCTGTAGATGCTTGGCAATATGCTTAGGGCAGCAGCGGTTTAGGGTGCGCTGCGAGTCAAAATAGGTGATGGTGCGTCGACTCACATCAACAGAGATGAGGGAACAATGCACCTCCAGGGGAATGGGGATCAGCAGCAGCTCCTTATTAAAGATGTCCACGTTTTCGGTCCACCTTTTCACCCCATCATAACCCTTGGTGTGGAGTTTACTGTAAAAGAAGCTGTTGAAGAAATGCACCTTTTCAGGGACTGTGTCTATGACCAGGTTTCCAAACATGTTCATCAGCTGGTCATTGAGCCAGTTCTGTCCATACAAGGTCCCCAAGTCATCCATGGTCAGCACATGCCACTTATAAGCCACTCGGAAGCCCCTCACCATGGCATGGCCTGGCATCCGCTGGTAGGACTAGATCAGCTGTAACACCAGGCCCTTCCTGGAAGGCGTAGAAAACTCCTGCTGGAAAATGTGCTCCAATTTCTCTACCCCCTCATCAGTGCTAAGGGGGATGAGGCTGTTGTAAGTTTGAAGGAATTCATCTAAGATGCTCTGCACGCAGGTCACATGCTCCTCCCACAGGGGGCTATGCTGGCCAGTTTTCTCCCCGGGCCGCTCTGCCCCTTCTGCAGTGTCCTGCGTGCATGTGTGTGTGTGTGTGTGTGTGTGTGTGTGTGTGTGTGTGTGTTCTACACACAGAAAGAGTATTACTGTAAGGAGTTTTCTCACACAGATATGGAGGCTGACAACTCCTAAAATTAATAGTCTGAAAGATGAAAACAGAAAAGTTCATAGTATAATTTCAGTCCTTCCAAATCTGAACCCTGCAAACCAGTGGTGTAGTTCTAGGAGAAAGGTCAGGGGAAAAAACCAACAACACCGAAAGTCCCACCTGGAAAGCAGTTAGGCAGGAGTCCTTCCCTCTCACTCCTGGGAGGGTCAGCCTTTTTGCTGTGTCAGGCCATCAGTGGACTGGAGGAGGGTCATCACATAGGGGATGACAATCTACTTTATTTAGTCCACAGGTTCAAATGCTAATCTCATCCAGAAACATCCTCACAGACACACCCAGAATAATGTTTGAGCAAATGTCGGTGTACCCCTTGGCCAGATCAGGTTAACATATACAATTAGCCATCACAACTCTGTATTTGTTCTCTGGTTTCTTAATTTCTGCAAGTAATTTTGGATAATATCCTACTTTCTTTACACAATTCTGCTTTTCTAATTCTAATTTCTTATGCTGAATACCGAGCTCATTACTGTAAAACTCTTTTCCCTTTCTATTTCAGGAAAGTATGCCTATAAAGTTGCTTATCAGATCACAGATATTTTATATGCATTGCTTTTTAAAAATCTGTATAAGTTTTATATTGGTGAACTATTGGTAAAATAATACTGCATATCAAAAAGAAAAGATTTCAGTGACATAAAATAAGAAATATTAATATATCTGTGTCTTTGGTACTACTAGAGAAGCTCTCTAATTTCAATTGTGTTGGTTCATTTTATCTATCTCAGCTCTGTGAGATGAATTTGTTACACCCTCTTGATCCAATAGAGCTGTAAGTACACCACATGTACTTGAAAAGAATTGGTATTTTTCAGTTATTCATGAAGTGGTTCTTTAAAGCTGTTGGTCAAACTAGAGATTATACTCTTCAGATCTTTCAAAGTTGTTTTTTGTTTGTTGTTTTCAGGATCTATCAATTGCCAAGTATATAAAAATTCTCTATGATAAAAATTTTTCAATTTTACCTTATAATTCTTTTGATGTATGTATTGAGACCATATTATTAGCAACATATAGTTTAAATCTAATAAATATTCACATTCAATTGAAATTTTATTCTATTGGTTTGATAATATTACTATCTTATAATATATTGTAAATTTTTTAAAAAATATTTTATTGAGTTTTTACAGAGAGGAAAGGAGAGAGATAGAGAGTTAGAAACATTGATGAGAGAGAAACATCGATCAGCTGCATCCTGCACACTCCCCCCCACTGGGGATGTGCCCGCAACCAAGGTACATGCCCTTGACCGGAATCGAGCCCGGGACCTTTCAGTCTGCAGGCCGATGCTCTATCCACTGAGCCAAACCGGTTTTGGCATATATATTGTAAATTTTTAAAGGCAATGATCATCAAAAGAGATTTAAAAAACTGTAGCTGTAAAGTTAATGGGAAATTGTATGGATATAGGGTGCCAAATGCTACCCACAGTTTATGTCCTCATTAAGAAGGAAAACAAAACTATAAAATGCAGGGATCAGGTTTTTACATCCTGAATTTACTGATTAATCTTAGCATCACTAGATGAGCCAAACAATGTTAAAATGTAATTTAATCTTTGGAATGTTGGCCCATCAATAATGATAAATTCTGGACCAAAACTAGCCCTAGAATTAAATTAGAGAGAAACATGCAGCATCTACAAGTCAGGTTTTGGTTGTTGTTGGTGGTAGTGGTATCAGTGTTTCTATTTCAGCCTAAGATGCTCTGGTTTCATTCAAGTGTGGATTTCTCTGAAGTTTTCTGGCTTTTCTCCCATGTCAACCCTCTAAGGACTTATCAATAACCAATTTCTGAGTATTAGCGATTGAACTTACACATCAGTTTCAGAACATAATTTGAGATTTGTGAAGTCATGGGTTAGGCCCTAATGCTTATCTATAGTCTACAGAATGAGTTTTCAGATGATACTTGCCTGACAAAGCCTTCTACTATACAAAATCAATCCTATATAATAAAAGTCTAGGTGGTGTCGCGCGATAACCTCATGCAACATCGTCACAAGATGGCCACCACAATGTCATCACAAGATGGCCGGCAGGGGAGTGCAGTTGTGGGAGATCAGGCCGGCCGGGGAGGGCAGTTGGGGACAATAAGGACAGCAGGGGAGGGCAGTTGGGGCAATCAGGCCTGCAGGGGAACAGTTAAGTGTCATTCAGGCCGGCATGGGAGCAGTTAGGGGGCAATCAGGCTGAAGTGGTTAGAAGGAATCAGGCAGCAGGCAGGCAAGCAGTTAGGAGCCAGCAGTCCCGGATTATGAGAGGGATGTCCAAATGCTGGTTTAAGTCTGATCCCATAGGGGTTGAGCCTAAACTGCCAGTAGGACATCCCCCAAGGGGTCCCAGATTGGAGAGGGTGCAGGCTGGGCTTAGGGACACACCCCTGCCCCCATGCAGAATTTGGTGCACTGGGCCCTAGTCTATATATATAAAAGCCTAAGCAACTGTTACAACTGGTTGATGGGTTGCTATGATGTTCACTGGCCACCAGGGGGTAGTCGATCAATGTGGGAGCTGCCCCCTGGTGGTCAGTGCACTCCCATAGCTAACCTCCCATTCTGGCCAACCTCCCGTGGTCCCTCCCCCCAGCCAGCTGGCCCTGATAGACCGGTTTATGTTTATAATTTCTAAAATTGTAGAACACTAAGTAGCACACAAATGACATATGTAAATATAACAAATTAAAGTGAAATACATTAGTGTCAGGTTTCCTTTCCATGAATGTAATTTTCAGTATCTTAAGACAAATTTGAATATGTAATACTTGCACCTAATTACTTATTTTAAAATCTCTTCCACTATTTCTAGTTTATTAGTTTTTTTAAGAATGATTACATTATTATATATCATATATCATACACCATACATCATATATCATATACACTAGAGGCCCGGTGCACAAAATTCATTCATTGTGGGGGGTGTCCCTCAGCTTGGCCTGCACCCTTTCCAATCTGGGACCCCTCAGGAGATGTCTGACTGCTGACATCACTCTCTCAATCCAGAACCACTGGCTCCTAACCACTCACCCGCCTTCCTGCATAATGCCCCCAACTGCCCTCTCCTGCTGGCCTGGTCACCCCCAACAGCCCTCTCCTGCTGGCCTGGTTGCCCCTAACTGCTCTCCCCTGCCAACCTGATTGCTCCTAACTGCCCTCCTCAGCAGGCCTGGTCGCTCCCAACTGCTCTCCCCTGTCGGCCTGATCTTGCCACCAACTGCCTCTGCCTCGGCCCCCACCACCATGGCTTTGTCTGGAAGGAAGTCAGATGTCTGAAAGATGTCTGGTCAACCTGGTCTAATTAGCATATTACCTTTATATTAGTTTAGATTATATTATTATATATTATGTATTACATTATACACATTATCTCGTCTAATTTGTACTCATTTTCATAAAGAAAAGATTATATTATTTGATCAAATAAGGAAAACTTGACCAGGTTATTAATGGACTCAATCAAGATCACACAGCTAATCTGGGATTTGATTATATCTCTTCAGAAAACAAATTCAATGTTATTTTAATTATACCTCACTTTCCTGTTGTTTTTTTTTAAGGAATACTATTGTAATAATTTGAAATATTAAAATCCACTCAATGTAACCCAACCTATAAATACAGAATTCATTTTTCCTCTCAAAAATGCATGATCTAATTTGTTTAGAGAAGTAAGAAACTACTAGAAGGCTGCTATAAAATGCATCTCCGATATAAAGAACCTCAGAGAATAAAAAGGCACATCTCTTTTACACCTTTAAACTGGAAACATCAAAAGCATCTGGAAATTGAATTTTCACAGTAGGGGCTAGAAAGGAAAAGTAAGAAAATGAAGATATAGTACTAAATTATCATAATTCACCCCAAGTGTTGAAATTTTCAGAATGGCATATTTATAATGAGTATAAAACCATGTATTCACAAATTTCTAAAGGTAAAAAGTCTTGATTCAACATCATGCTTATTATA